CGATGGATAACAAAAAAAAACTGGTCATCGGTATTAAGTGCGAGTACGAGCAAAGATAAATTTGACCTCTTTATGTCAGAGCTTGACCAAGCAGTTAATACCTTTCTCCCACAGAAAATGATTAAAAAGCATCCGACAGATCGACCGTGGATTACTAATACGATAAAACTGTGGATTTCTAGACGCCAATGTGTATTCCAACAACAAGGAAAAAATTCTAAAGACTATAGTTTTTGGAGGAATAAGGTTCAACGTGCGATCCAGTCAGCAAAATCCAATGACTTTCATAGTAAGGTAGCAGATGTTGATAGAGTAAACCCTGTAAAGTGGTGGAAAGAGATTAAAAAACTATCAGGTCAAAATATCCGACAGGAATGGTATCAGTTCCTTGATAACAACATGGATATAGAATCCCTAGCTAATAAAGTGAACGACTTCTTTGTTAGTCTTACAGATCACTTCGCCCCTCTGAGCCAACCAACTCCACCTATGCAAATCCCGGAAGAATTCTTGGTTACGGAAAGTGAGGTGTTTAAAGCATTAGCATCACTGCAAATTAGTAAGGCTATTGGCCCTGATAATATCCCGAATAGAATCCTGAAAGAGTTTGCTCCTGAACTGGCTCCAGTCATTCGTAATATTTACAACCAGTCAATAAAAGAAGTGAATATCCCATCACCACTTAAGTCATCTATCGCAATTCCAATTCCGAAGATATCACCTCCTCAAACAATTGAAATTGATCTCCGCCCAATCTCGCTTCTTCAATGGCAAAAGTTATGGAAGGCTTTACTTGCACTAGACTATTAAAGGACTTGAAAGAAAAAATCGACCCTCGCCAATATGCCCGCAAAGGGCACTCAACAACAGATGCCCTTCTCTACATGATGCAAACAATTCATGAGGCATTGGACGGGGGCGAAGCCGGTGCTCGTATCTTGTTCGCAGACTTCTCAAAAGGTTTTGACCTAATTGACCACTCTATTTTAATACAAGAACTGTATAAGCTCCAGGTTCACCCAGCCTTGCTGTCCTGGATCTCAGCCTTTTTATTCAATCGTAGGCAGGTGGTTAGAATTGGTAGTGTCCTTTCTCAATGGCAAACTCTGAAGGGAGGAATACCCCAAGGGACTAAACTCGGAGTGGTACTTTTTATGGTCATGACAAATAGCTTACTGGCTAATTGGCATCTCTGTACAAAATTCGTGGATGACACTTCAGCCCTCGAGATTATTCCTAGGAACTCTATCAGCCTCCTTAATTTTGCAGTCTCTGATATACATGAATTTGCTAATGAACATAACATGAAGCTCAATCCTAAGAAGTGTAAGGAAATGCTTATAAACTTCCTACATAACCCCAATTTCTTACTCCGACCAATCCAAATTGGTAACAATGTTATTGAGCGTGTGACAACGTATAAATCTTTGGGTGTCATTTTGAGTAGCGACCTAAAATGGAATCCCCATATCGAATACATTGTTAAGAAGGCTAACAAAAAACTATACCCTTTAAGAGTCCTGCGAAGAGCTGCGGTTGACCAAAAGAATTTACTGAAAGGGTACCTGTGCACAGTAAGACCAGTACTTGAGTATGCCGTCCCTATTTGGCAAAGGGACGCAGAGAGATTTGACTCGGAGAGCGAGTCATATGCGGAGGCCCTGAATTTTGCACAACTACCAACTTTAACCACAAGAAGAGTGCAAATATGTCATAAATACATGGTCAGAATGAGGCGAGAAAACCATCCCTTATTGCCAATCCCTGTTGTTCCTGACCATGACATTAATTTGAGACAGAACACTGATCGATTTTATCTATTTAATAATGTTACTGATTGCAGAACAATTAAAGCCCAATCCTTTTTTACATTTAAATACTCTTAATATGTTAAGATTTTTTTTTAATATATATGAAAATTGTAAATAATTATGCATGCACTATTTACTATTTTGGTAAATGCCTAATGATTTTAACTCTTGTAAATAGCCTGGATTTTAAAGCATATCCATGTACTATTTTATAACATATTATCTATTGTAAAGTACTCGTTAATTCAGTTGTTTCTGTAACTGCAAGAGAGTTCTAATAAACTATTATTACTATTATTACTATTGACACCATTCGAGTGCCGGTTTTAATGGTCGGAAAACCATGCACCGTCAGATGTTGGACGGAAATCACTCGACCATATGGCGCCAATGCCTCAAAAAGATCATTGTCCCCCATTTGAAGGGGAGCACGGTCAACAAAAACTGACTTGACCTCTTCGTAGAAATGGCGTTAGAGTTACCCCTCTAAACGACAGGCCATTAATTTCATACCTGACACGTATAGAGAGAGATTTGTATTGCACGCAAACCTTATGGTTTGGCAAGATTTGAACTGCCGAAACCCTCTCCGCGCCAATCGCTTTCACAAAATCAGCCCTTAGCTGAGGAATTTTGCCCTTACCCACCAAACGTTTGGGCACATGAAACACAGATGTTTGGTGTTCCACTTGGCAAAATCCTCTTTGGTAAATGGGCGACTTGCCATAGTTATAAAATATATAAAAATGTGTGTTTATAAACAAAGATGTATTAGAAAAACTGTCAACAGTGATGTAACTGTGACACAAAACACACAGGAAAATCAGCTGTAAAGCAAGTAAAACTGATTCAGGCAGTTCAACCCCTAAAGGCAACCACCGTTCACAGAATATGTGAAAAAAACTAATAAAACCTACTAATACACCAAAGAACTGAAGAGCAAAAAACCTTGCACTTACAAATAAAACTACAATATTTACAAAAACAACGTGTCCTTTGCCAAATAAAAAGAAAGAATGCCAGAGAACAGACTATATTGGTTCAAGACCTCAAGTCTGCAACAAAAGCAAAGACAAAGAACAGCAAAAGGCAACCTTCCTTTGAATGATCCCCTAGTCAGACCACTCGACAGCAAAACAACCAGAAAACACACTAGTCACCACTACCTAATTATATAAAAAAAACACTGGTACTGGCGGCCTTAAGCTGTGCTGGGTGCTAACCACCCAGTCCCACAGCCAGGAAAACTACTTGACCACGATCCAAAGAACGAGGCAAGCAGTCAAAAGAGAAAAAGAACTGGACTAGTTGCTACCTAAACACCCAACAAGTTAGGCTGGCAAGTCAACCGGAAGACAGAACAAAGACGAGGGCGTGTCTGCACAAAGAACTGCAGCTAGTAAATAACCTGTGAGCGAGTTATGGACCGTGTTCCAAGCATAGATCCTCACTCAACAGGTGCGAAGAACCTGACGCAAGAAAGTACCTCGCGTCAGGTAAGTATGCTGTTGTTTCCGCCGCTCACCTTATATACGCGATGATGATGAGACGCGATTGTGGTAGTTCAGGTGTTTCCCTCTTGTCTTGAACGTCATGTGCCGCGGTCTAGAGAATGAAAAAGTATGTTAGTAAAATTATATGTAGTTGATTCGGTTCATAGCCGAATGAAAACACGCTCACAAGGTGTGAAATATCAACATAGGATAAATAATAAAGTGTTACAAGTCATATGATATGTATGTTATATATGCATGAGAAAGCCGTGATATATTATTTCACGTGGTATTCGAGTATGGTGTTAATATAAAGCTATCGGCATGTGAAAAGTACTTAAGTGTGTGTAATCGTCTAATAAACTAGAGATTGCTTTATAGTTTGATTTGAAATAAAAAAATGTTCTTCCCCGAGTGGGGAAGGGGCCGTACTCGGATGTAGTGCAATACCGAGACAACCCGTGGCCAGGGCGAAGCAAGCTTCAATCCCATGGCCGAAGTCCAAAAATCAGTTTAATATATGAGTTAGGCATTGCCTAACATATCAGATATTAAGCTGATAAGAACAGAAATTTTTATTAAGTTTAAGTGGTTATTTACATGATTTGTTAGAATATAAGTTAGTTATATACTATAGTATTATATGTACATGGATGTATTATAATATTATAGAGATCAGTGTCAGAAAGCACTTATTTGAAAGGTTCAAAGTTCTACTAATTAATTATTAATATATAACTGTTCGGATTGATGATCAACTGTTTCAGATCTATGTGTTAATTAGTGATAGAGGATTGTTTATAACTGCGGAACACCTGTGAGGTGTTGCACGTAAATGTTTCTTGATATTTTAATGCTGTCTGCACAACATAGTTTGCGAAATAATGTACGATATCTTAGAGAGACGTTTAGTTCATCTAATACTTTTTCGTTCCCCGGGAACCATCCACCAAGAGGGCCAACCACGAAACCAAATACTTTCGCTTGTTTGTTTGAATTATTAAAATGGTCAACAAGGTAGTTATATTTCGTTTCTTTTCTTTCGGCCGCCGATCTTAGGGCATCTTCATCATTTTTGAAAGGACACGTAACGTCGATGATTGTAACTTTATTACCGTCTGTAATAACTAGGTCAGGACAATTATTTCCAGGTGCGCCTGGAACAACTTGATCTACCGAGAATGTCCCGCTTTGTATCACGGTTGTGAGTCTTTCAAGTATTTTATCGTGTCTGGCTGTTATTGTGGTCATGTTAGGATGGCAATGGCAGATGATATGTGGGAGGGTTTCACTATCGTTATTGCTATGGCATCTCCTGCATTCTTTCGTGTTGCCATTCGCGAATCTACTTTTCACTGCATTGGTGGGGAGGGTGTTGGTTCTCGCGCGATGGATGAATCGCCAGTCACAGAAGCGGATTCCTGTGCCATCGTAGCACCAGCTGTTTGTTGATGGAAAGTTTGAGATTGTAGGCACCTAGCTACTTTGCCTTGATCAGGGAGGCTTTTTAGTTTAAACGCACGTTGTTTCAGCATCGATCTGTGTAGGTAGGAGGCCACTCCTTTGCTGTTGGTTGATGTTTGAAAATTGTCTACCGAGATTGTTATATCTTCCAATGCAGACTTGACCTTAACTTTCAGGGCACGGGCTGAAATACGGCAACGAGACCACAATGTCTGACTGTTACCACAACTCATATGATTACTGAAGTTACCATCTAGAATACCTGATAGGAACTCGTCAGCTTCATCATTTCTGGCTTCGCGTTTGAGGCATCGAGATACCACAGATTTGAGTTCGTTTTTTGCAATATTACCGACAAACGGATCAGAAACTGAAAGGATTTTGACTGCATGCACTACTGTTTGAATATGTCGCTCGTTAAACGGATCTTGGAGACCTAGACCACCGACGGCTCTGTCAGCAAAGAAATAGTGTTGTGTCGCTCTCTTAGGAAGGTTGCATATCGAACGGAGGACTTCTACCAACTTTCTCCGATATTTATCAAGGGCTTTGCGGGTAACTGGGCATGTTCTTAGTGCATAAGTCAGACCCGGTTGGATGAAGGTTCGTATTGCATCCAACTTTTGCCACGGTGTGAGTAGGGAGTCTCGAATTTTCTCGAGGTCTGCTGTTAGTTTTTCGGTAATAGCGTTCATATCGTTCGCGTCATACAGCAGGCCGATAGGGACGCCAAGGTACCGGTAAGATTCTTCTTTCTGGAGAGCGGGAATCATACCTTCTTGTACCTGGAAGGTTGTATCTCCTACGCGTGATGGTTCAAGTTTGTTGCAGGTTAGTGATAAAGAGGCGCATTTGTCTGGTCTAAATTTCAGGTTAAGGATGTTGGCAGCTAGTGAGACATCGTCTAACAAGGTTTGTAAGCCGTCGCGGGTCCTACTCATCAGAACGAGGTCGTCGGCATAGGCCAGGACATATACCGCTTGGCCGTGTAACTGGAAAGGGATGTGTGGGCTTTCGTTGCACCGCGACTTAACCACTCTGATAAGCAGTTCCGTGGTCAGGTTAAACAATATGGGACTAACAGGACAACCTTGTTTAACACCAGCTTTGATTGGAATCGAATCGGTTTCTTCATCCTTGCCAGTTCGTACTATCATTGTTGCATCGGTGTATATGTCCTTAATCAAATTAATTAGGGATTCAGGGAAGCCCATATGATTGAGGGTAGAGTAGATGGCGTCATGAGAGATACTCCCGAAAGCATTCCTTAAATCTAACCATGCGAGGAAACAGTTCTTATAGTTCCTTTTACAGTCAGCCACAACCGATTGAAGCGTATAAGAATGCTCGTGACATCCTTCCGATGGTTTGGCGCTTTTCTGCTCGGTTGAAATGAGACCCTTATTAATCGCAAAGTTAGATATACGGGAAGCAAGGATAGAGGTAAAGAGTTTATAGATACACGACATCAGAGCAATGGGTCTGAAATTACTTGGGTCGTCGCTAGGTCCTTTCTTGTAAATTAGGATGGTGGACGATTGTTTCCACGATAATGGAATTTTCTTCTCCTCAAGGCACTTGTTATAAATTAGGCCGAGAACTTTACAGTCGGGATCAACTAGCTTGAGATGTCTGTATTCGACTTTGTCTTTACCAGGGGCTGAATTAGACATTAACTTAAGTTTGCCCTTAATTTCTTTAGGCGACATATGATCCATAAGGGATTGATCAATATCTGCAGATGGGACATTGTCGGAAAGGGAGGAGAGGAGGTCATTCAGATCCACTGTGGAGGTGGAAAATGTGTCTGTGAAATGTTGTTGTGCCTGGTCCTTTGTGCCGGTGTAGGTGATGTTGTTGTCATGGAGGATTTTCCTCGCGGCTCTCTTTTTCGATAAACGAAAAAGGGTCTGGATTCTACGGGCTTCGACTGGATTACTTATCAATGGTCGTCTGTTTGGTTTTGGTAATCTACCATTCGGGCGGTTCCTTGGGTTTCGTACAGGCATGCCGCATCGGTTGGAGTTGTTGGCACCTGAAGATTTAACTTCATTTACAACCGCATGAGCATAGTCATCGCATTTATGGCAAAAATCATCAAACGATTCCGTAGTTGAAATTCTATTGGACCATTTGCGCACGAACTCGGGGGTGTTACTTGACACATGTTCAGGACTTGAATTAGCTGACTCCTCGGAATTAGTAATATTGTTCTCATCAGTACGACCACTTAAGGAGACCGACGGTTCAAAATTGGTATGTTGACTGGGGGGATCACTATTCACGTTAGAACCCTCATTAAAGGCGACCTCAGAATGACGGTCGGTGTGTTGGGTAGCAACATAACTATCCACATTAGTACAATCACTTAAGACGACCTCCGCTTCAAGCCATATACGATTGCTATGTACGGGTTGGGGGGCGCTAGAATGGGGGGTTGGGGATGGGTTGTGGATGTAGGGGCTTGTTGAGGGATCAGGGGAAAGGGTAAACTGAACAGGGGATGAGGGTCTGGGAGGAGAGTGGGTGTTACGTACGTCATCCTCTTGAAGATCAATCAACTCAGGTTTGGGTGAGGGTTGGTAATAGGTGGAATGCTGGTGGTTCGTGGAAGGAAGACATGAGGAAGGAGGTTGTAGGAGGTTTGAGGGTGGGGATTGTAAATTGTCTACCGGCAGGGAATGCGAATGGTTGGTGGGAGGGTGTGGTGACTGATCTTGTGACGGGGTTTGTAAGTTGGTAGAGGTTAAGGGCTGTAGATGGACTGGGGATGGGGATTGACTGGTGACTTGGCTTGTATAGTCGGGGGAGTTTGTCGGAGGGAAGAAGGAATTAGCGAAGGGGTTGAGTGTTTGGGAGGTAATATTTGGGGTTCCAGATGTTGAGGAATTACAGGAAATGCTGTCTTCGACGGTGGTGTGGTTATTGACTGAACCGGGCGCGGAAGTTGACTCATACACGGACAACTTAGGCAATGATTGAGCTCTTGCACTATTTTTCCTACGTTGATGACTTGTGGTTGGTTTGTCAGTGGATGATAATATTGGGGTTGGAGAAATTGGATAGTCGTCCTTGGATCCGATCTGATGGAACCGTTTTAAGTGGACACCCGCGCCTCGACCATCTTTCAAAAAGTCGTTACATAGACTACATCTCGCTGATTCGATTAGTTTAACTTTCTTGTGTTTTGACTTGAAGTGTCTTCTGAAATTCGCAATCGAGCCAATGGATACATCACATAAACAACAAAAAATCGGCTTTCCTTCTGGAAAACTACGTTCGACATATACGCAGTCAACGTTACGGGGTATCACAACATGTTTACATTTCGAGCGGTGAACTGCAAGACCGCCTTGCGAACGGGAAACAAAATTACAATCAGGACATTTATTAACTTCTTGTTGAGACTGAACTGTAGACATCCTGGAACATTCAACATACACAGTACATAGATAAAAAATCCGAACAAAATTTAACGGGATAACAATCACGACAGGTTACGAACGTGCTTGCAATAGTTAACACATGGCCAATGCGCTAGACCATATCAGGATACGGGAAATCCCCTAATGAGATGACAAACTTGGATTCTTGAATATAATTAGACGGCAGTTTGACCGTTGGAAAAACGCACAAAACCGGATAATTTAAATTGTATTTGCGTTATAACGACCAAACTCTCCGGGGATGTTAAGAACCAGAGTATTGATAGCTGTGCCAAGTTCTGGAAGCGTATCTTTGATAGAACCAAAGTTATAGGCAGAATATAAAACCAACGGGATGTTAACACGGAATATTTATTATATAAACAAAGCACTTGGAGCACAAAGTACAAGTAACTCATGAAATACTCCACCTGGCTGGATCAAATAAACACCAAAATGATTCGTTTAGCAAGGTAAATACAGTTCAATCGAAAGTTTAGACGAACCACGTAAAACAAACAGGTTTGGCACAATCCGTAATGATATGCGAGGCAGACGTAATTAATTTAAAATACACCAACGGTCAAAATACGGAAATTCAACAATACACACGAACAGGGCCACTTGGGATCACCAAACTTTAACAGAACAACATAGGTACAAATCACAGTTCACACAGCAACTTTGGGACAAATCCGACGAACAGTTCCAAATATATTAGCTGAAAACCAAATTCCCCGATTTACAGCGGGCGGCACCACAAAAACACGTATAAACGATACAATAACTCCAAATAATTCCAGACAGCGATAAATTAACAACAAACAGCTACGATAATAATAATATTCAGCAAGACTTTATCTTTGATTAGATATATTAGCTGGCTTGCTACGATCAAAATTTATACTTAAAATTTAACACTTGATCTTAGCCAAAAGGCCGAGAAGCGATGCCTTCTTCGCCGTTTGCCACACATATTTCTACCGAACACTTGTGCTACGAAAACGCGGTGAGAAGGAGCTCGCTTGCGAGCGATTATGACGTCGACAGGCGCCTGATTACTCGTCGCACGAGCACGGCAAGTCCGTGGTGATCGCCCACCGCGACTGTCGCGGTTCTCTCGCGCACGCGCGTGCGGTAGCGTAGAGGGGCACGGCGGCCGTGTGGCATCGAGCGTGAGACGAGAGTTGCGACCGTATCGGCTTTCGCGCTCTTCAAAGATTCACGAATGCGTCGAGCTTCTTTCACTCGCAAACTGCGTTGTGACCCGGAAAGGTTTCGGGTCACGCGCCGTGAAATAATGCAATTTTGGAATATTTACTCGCTATTCTATAAGTTTGACCGGCAAAACACGTGCGTTTGAGAGTGACACGCGAGCCAGTTAATGGGCACTTGGAATGTACGTGCGATGGCTTGAAATTCCGTTGGCAAGCAAGTGACTTTATACAGCAGCGAATTAATTGAATAGTGTGTGCAAACACCCGAAGTGCTTACAAAATATAAACACGTGTATAGCTCTTTACTTACCATGTAATATGAACTGGAGATGGAGAGATTTCGGCACGGAGAATATATAAAGAGTGTCTTCTGTGATAAACGATATGTTTGACATCGGATTCTATACAAAAACAATCGACACACACGGCAGTGTTAAGAAAAGAACACGGGCTTTATACATTTATACATGAATATTATATGTTGAAGGGGACGAGCGCAAACGCAGGTCCCCACTACCAGAAATTATACGCTCGAGTTACCCACATTAGGGGTAATCGCAGGAGTCAACCCAGTCGAAGTGCAATGAAAGGACCTCATCCTGAGAGGACCTCCCAGTTGATCAAGGTGCCTCTCGCGTCAGGTAAGTATGCTGTTGTTTGCGCCGCTCACCTTATATACGCGATGATGATGACACGCGATTGTGGTACTTCGGGGGTTTCCCTCTTGTCTTGAACGTCATGTGCCGCGATCTAGAGAATGAAAAAGGATGTTAGTTAAAATTAGATGTAGTTGATTCGGTTCATAGCTGAACGAAAACACGCTCACAAGGCCGGTGTGAAATATCGGCATAGGATAAATAATAAAGTGTTACAAGTCATATGATATGTATGTTATATATGCATGAGAAAGCCGTGATATATTATTTCACGTGGTATTCGAGTATGGTGTTAATATAAATCTATCGGCATGTGAAAAGTACTTAAGTGTGTGTGATCGTCTAATAAACTAGAGATTGCTTTATAGTTTGATTTGAAATAAAAAAAATGTTCTTCCCCGAGTGGGGAAGGGGCCGTACTCGGATGTAGTGCAATACCGAGACAACCCGTGGCCAGGGCGAAGCAAGCTTCAATCCCATGGCCGAAGTCCAAAAATCAGTTTAATATATGAGTTAGGCATTGCCTAACATATCAGATATTAAGCTGATAAGAACAGATCGTAATAAATTTATTTCATATAATGAGTATTTACAAAGCTTTTATGGGACTTAGTTAATAATTGATACTGGTGAAAGTTACTACTAAAATAGCAGTTCATAGAGAATGTTTATGAAAAATTACGAGAATTATTCATCTGCGGTACAGTTCTTTGGGAACGATAGTTATAAATGATTATTTAGTACAATGATTATACTGGCACTATTCTTTTGCATGACCCAGTATTATTTAGGAAATATACATATCTATAAATAAACATTGATTAGCTTTAACTACCAGTTCGTGTTACTCTTGCGCAACATTGTTCATGTGTTTGTAGTATATCTCTGCAGGAACCCTGTATAACATCACTGCAGCATAACTTGCGAAACAAAGACTTGTATTTTCTTGACATTCTCAAACTTCTTAAGACCGCTTCGTTATTGGGATGCCAAGTGCCAAGAGAACCGATCACGAAACCGTATACACTGCATTTCATACCAAGTGACTGAAAATGTGATTTGACATTTTGATATTTCATCACTTTCGCGTAGTCAGCAGAAGCAAGGACCGATTCACCATTTTCAAAGGGGCAAGTAACATCGATTACGGTTACATTATTACCATCAGAGATCACTATGTCTGGACGACAAGACTCATTCAACCCAGGAATTTGTTGGTCTTCTCTAACTTGACCAAAGCGTATCGCTCTTCGTATTCTCCCAACGATCTTATTGTGGCGAGAACGAATTAGGACCATGTTGTCCTTGCAATGACACAGAATATGCAGAAGGGTTTCATCAACAGACTGACACACTCGGCACTCCGGATCACAGTCATCACTCCACTTGGATTTATTCTTGTTGGTGGGGACAACATTCATACGGGCACGATGGACAAAGCGCCAGTCTTTGAACCGCATATTGAGACCGGAGAACAACCAAGATGATCCGTTTGCAAAACCATCTTTTACCAAAGCACAGGCTACTTTCCCTTGATCAGGCAGATCTAGTAACCTTTGGGATGCACGCTCCTGAACCAGGTGATGAAGGAAAGAACATGCTAACTTAGCCCGACGAGGGCCACTGGCTTCAGTTGAGATAACTGGTTGATCATTATCTGGGACGGAAAAAGTGATGTTAAGGCGACGGCAAGCAGATCTTGTGCGGGTCCACAGGGAATGGGTGCGATATCTGATGCGCTTAGGGTGTAATTTACCAGCCGTGGAACCGGACAGGAAATCGCGAGTAAGGGCTGGAGATGGGTTATCCCGTGACGCAAATCGAACGGCCGACCAAAGCTCTGATCTTGCTATTGCCGAAACAAACGGGTCAGTAGAAGATAACATTTTTATAGCTTGGACCACCGTTTGGATATCTACCTCAACCAGAGGATCTTGGAAGGCAAGGCCACCAACTTTGCGGGAGGCAAATATTATATGGGATGAGGCTCGAGTTGGAAGATTAAGGATCGAACGGACTATTTGGATCAGCTTTTTACGGTAACTAATCAGTGAAGACTTAAGAGGTTCACCAGATCGCAGAGCAAATGTCAAACATGGTTGGATGAACGTTCTTATAGCGTCTAGCTTTTGCCATGGGGCTAAGAGCGACAAGTGAATGCGATCAAGATCTCCACAAAGGTCATTATAAAGGATCGAACTTGAGATGCGGCTGTGGTTTACTGAACCGTTGGCAGACAACGTACGCTTTGATTTTAACCAATCTTTCATCTTATATTTCGTTGCCCTTCGACAGTACGTAAAAACTCTGTCCCCGCAAATCCTTTCAACGATTAGCCAATATCTAATACTATATACATACGGTATATGTCCACGCTTGACACAAGATTAAAAGCAAACTAAAATTAAAAGTTCTGCTATATATAAAGCCGTGGTGGCATGCAAATTAGTTGACTAATTAATTCCAACCCACGCAAAAGATTTTAAACAACATCCTTTACATGGCTCCCCTAAATTGTTCCACAATTTACCTAAATTAAACTAAATTATACTAATGCATGCATAAAGTACTATTTTTTGTTCGTTTTATATATAATAAAATTTATAACACCTAAATGTACTTTGAAACAAATTCTACTTATCGTTGTCATCTTTGGCTCCTTAGTCGGGGAATCCCTGGTCTTCAAACTCTTCATTCGACAGCAGTAGAACCAACTTGTGCACCGGTCGATTGAGGTAGGAGATTGGTCGCTTTCTTCTTCCTCTGCTATCCAACGTGGAGTCAGCCATCGCCAACTTAACCTTTCTAACCAGGGCATCGTCTGAAGGAAATGTTTCCGCGACTCGTGCGAGTTTCCATTGGTTACGAGGCAAATCTTCATCGTTAACGACAACAATATCCCCTTTCTTAAGGTTTTTCTGGGGTCGTACCCATTTCTGACGAGTTTGTAGGGACTGAAGAAACTCTTTCTTCCAACCACTCCAGAACTCGTTGATCAAATACTGTACACGACGCCATCGTTTCTTTGAATAGACATCCGCACGCTGAAATTCACCGGGAGGGGGAAGGATAATATTACTCTTCATTGTCAACAAGTGGTTCGGTGTAAGGGGTTCAAGATCACTTGCGAAGTTCAAAGATAATGGACGGCTGTTAATGATCGCCTCAGCTTCTACCATAAACGTTCTCAAAGATTCATCGTCCAGTTGTTCTCCATGTGCATCCAGCAGGGCAGACAAAACATTCCGCACACTTCGGATCTGACGTTCCCAACTGCCCCCCATATGACTTGCATGAGGGACATTCATTTGAAACTTGATGAAGTCACAGTTCTCCTTCAATAGTTTCTGACTCACAGTCTCTTGGTTCATTTCACTTAGTGCAGCTTGAAGCTCTGTCCTGCATCCAACAAAGTTCGTTCCGCGATCAGACCTCAATTGACGTATCGGTCCTCGCCGGCCAACAAAACGACGGTATGCGTTCATGAAAGAACTCGTATCCAAACTAATCGCTGTTTCCAGGTGAATAGCACGCGAAACCAAACAGGTAAACAAAACCCCATATCTTTTAACGTTCCTTCGTCCCTCTTTGACCAACCAGGGTCCGAAGTAATCAACTGCACTGTAGGTAAAAGGTGGAGAAGGCTCCAAACGATCCTCAGGTAAGTCGGCCATTCTTTGTTTCTGCAACTCGCCCCTTACTTTCCTACACTTCACACATTTGGAAATATGGTTGGAAACTGCCGAAACACCACCAATAATCCAAAATCCGGAAGACCTAATGCTGTTGTGGGTCATTCCACGTCCCTGATGAGCGACTTTCTGATGAAAATGACATATGATCAATTCAGTCATGTGTCCATTTTTCGGGCATATTCGCACGCCTAATCCGTCCACCGACTCGTATAATTCCATCTTTCGCAAGAATTGGATCAAGTCGAAATAAGGAACTGGATTTCGGGACCCCATGGCTCTCTTTATTCCCTCTTTCAACGTTCGGAGACGATTCTTCGACGTTTCTCGGGTGAAGTAACAACGTTTCCTTGATAAATGACTTTCGTTGTACAGCTCGTATAATTTCTTTTCCAGCTTCGTTCAGTTCATCGACGTTCACTGGATTACAAGAGATAACTCTGGAACTTTCCTCGCTTGAGTCACTCGACTGTTCTCCAGATAACTTTCTCTTTCGCAGACGGGCCAAGAGAATCTCCTTAAATCGAAGGCAAATTGCAATCGCTCGTTTTGCTTTGAACCAGCTCGAGAAACGGTCCAAACGCTCTTCTATACCAGCATGCTCTTCAGTTCTCGTTATTATAACTGAACACTTCCTCACTTCTGGATCATCCGGGCAGACGGCAGCGATGTTATTGTCCTCGTCAATCCTGCCATAATCAGGATCAAAATTCGACCAGAGAAAATCCGGACCAAACCACCACTCTCTCTTATCGAGAAGACGTTGGGCATCCAGACCTCGAGAGGCGAAATCGGCTGGATTGGACTTCGTTGGTATATATCTCCACTGATCAACTGAAGTCAGGTCACGAATCTGCTGCACTCTGTTTGACACGAAGACATGAAACCGTCGCACATTGTTAAAAATGTACCCGAGTACAACTCTACTGTCCGTCCAAAATATTTCGTTAATTTCGTTGTAATCTAGCTCTCTTCGAAATGAAGTGCCGACTTTCGCAATCACCAAAGCAGCCGTTAACTCGAGCCTTGGAATAGTTACGGATTTCAATGGCGCGACACGAGACTTTGCCATCACCAGCGAGCAGTGAATTCTACCAGTATGATCAATGAGCCTTAGGTATGAACACTGACCATATCCCTCTTCAATTGCGTCAGAAAAGTTGTGCAACTCGACAACGTCGATCTCACCAAAACCATCAGGTTTGTAACACCGAGGAATCTTCAACTGTGCTAGAAGACAGATATCTTTCCGCCATCTTTCCCATTCTGGCAC